TCAGTTTTCGCCTCGAAACGAACGTCCAGGGCCAGGCAATTGCTCAGGCCCGGTGCTGGGCGGCCGTCTGCAGGTTGAGTGACAGCGACGAAGGCGTGGAGGCAGGACTGTGGAGAGCAATCGTTGCTGTTGCCTTTGACCACCAATCTGTAGTGTTGGCCTGTGGTCTCTTGCTTGACGAGCTGACTGAGTTGCGCAGCTGCCGCTCTGGATAGGAATCAGGCGAGGTGAGCACTGCTGAGCACCAGCCAAGTGGGATCGTTTCCGAGGACCACCATTAGGCAGTTGCGTTCGTTGAAGCGTTTCCTGAATCGAGCCGAAAAAATGTGTTGTTCTCTATGCTATGCAGAAGGATCACTCAACAGGGCGGACTTCAACGCAAAGGGCGGACCGCTCTTCTTCTCCGTCAAGCAGCGTCCCAAACCGGGCTGTCCGCCAAAATTTGCATTGCACCTTGCTTGATTTCGCCTCCCAAACCGTTTTTTTATCTTGCTTCTTCGCAACGTCGACTGCGGAAGCCTTAGTGCAACCTCCCCCATCCTCCCACCCAGACCCAAGTCGGCTCATGGAACTCGGGCCATCTCGAGCCCTGACGATGCCGACACAGCAATACTACCAGAGCGAAGGAGTACGCGACCTACAGCGCTCAGCCGCTGAGTCAGCGCGGGGTTCTACAGAGGTGTTTACATCTACTTTTGAGTAGACAATTGAACCTTGTCCAACAACGTACACTACCAGATACCCGGTATCATATCGAACATAACGCTCGCGCTAAAAGAACCGGAGGATACTGCTCCTTTAGGATCAGCAGCACAGTGCTGGTGGCACCGACTCGACTCGAATCTCCAGAGAGCTATCCAAACATGTACAGTACACGGACATGAAGCAAAGATCGCGTGGGTCTACATTGTATTTGGTGTGCGCCACATGTTGTGGCACAGTGTGCAGCACACTGCCCGATGACGAACCTGCGTAGTGCTGGCCAAATACACATTTAATACATGTGCATCCTTGTTCGATACAGGTGGGCCTTACTCAGTGGCGGCAGGTTGTTGCGAACAATATTGAGGACGCTGCGGTCGTGTGAATAGCATTCGCGCTCGGCAATTGCCTATTTCCGGTGGCTTACAGGAGATCTTTGCTCTACCGTAAATGTGTCACCACTTCGAGCGCAAGATCGATGAGTCCACGCCACGCGCGAACACTGAAGCTGGCGGTGAATAGCATCCGATGCTTCTTTCCGTCACGACCGTCTCCTGCGGACTCTAAAGCCAAGAGAGGAGCTCTCGAAGTACATGTACTACATGTATTAATAGTCGCTATCTCGATCCTGGGCAGAAGCGCCCCGCACTTGCACCATGTTGCAGCTTATAGACCGGGCGCAGCACCACCCCCAGTTCGAATGACGCGCTCGGTGCATCACCTTTTCGGTCTACGATCGTCCAGCGTCTTCGAGATTCGCTTCAATGAGGGGTGGCCAGCTTTCTCTGCGTTTGACTATGGCGCAACGTTCCCTCTGCGCGGCCACTACTTCATTTTCCAATTTCTCAAGACCCACAACTGATCTCTTCACCATGCCGACGTCCGGAAAGCTCACGATCAAAGTCCACGGCATCGAGGCCACCTTCGGCGAGGAAGAATACCGAAACAAGAAGCTGGCCGTGCGTTTTGCCGTGGGCAAGGCCGAGTACACGACCAAATACAAGAAGCACGACGTGCGTATCGACGAGAACGCCATCCTGCGCGTGCACGAGGCCGCGGCCGACGCGAAGCTCACCATCGAGCTGTTGCAGGAGAAGGTCAAGAAGCCCATTGTGAGCACACAAAAGTCGCTGGCCGAGTTCCAGAACAACCCAGTGACCCGCAAGATGACGTTCACGTTCGGCTCTAAGGGCGCGCCCAGCACGGCGTTGCTTTCGTACAGTGCCGACTGGGAGTCAAGCGAGACAACGTTGGCCGCGTTTGAGACCCACCGGCCGTGGTTCATGCGTGCGTCGTACTACTACGACACCACAAAGAACGTGTACAACTACACCACGAGCTTCCGTGTGGTGGCCCCGTTCGCCCGCTTCGGCGAGAACACGGCCAACACGGTAGTCGAGAAAGTGAGTGGCAAGTCGCTGCATGAGATCGATGAGGCCTGGGTTGGCCCGGGTCTTAACGCTCTGGACGACAGGGTGGACGCCACCATCTCGTCTGTGGTCGAAACTTTGTACACGAGTCAGCAGTACGCGCTCAAGAAGAAGGACGCGGCCGTGGGTGTGGCCTCCAATGTCGTCAAGAAGACGGGCGAGACGGTCTCGGGCGCTGTAGGCGCCACCGTGCACACAGCCGCTAATGTAAAGGACTACACGACGGAGAAGGTAGTCTCGGCCACGTCCAGTGTCTACGGCACGGTGGCCAGCGTGGCCGACTACACGAAGACGCAGGTGGTGCACGCCTCGTCGTCCACGTACGGCACAGTCAAGGGTGTCACCTTCACGGCGCTCAGCTACGTGCCTGTCATCGGCCCAAAGATCGCAGTGTAAGCCGTACAGCTAGCTACGTATCGATATTTGTTAATAAGGGCTCCTAACACGCCCCACGGCCAGAACTTGAGAATTCCCGATCGATAGGGAAGCAGCGTAAAACATTCAACATCATTCCTTCGTTTGGCATACCATGTAGATTGCATATCGACGCTGAAGTTGTTAAAAGTTGCTCTTTTTCAATAGCATTATGCTCATTTTCCGTACACTGTAGAAGTGTCATTCAAATGTCAGTGAGCACTGCCACCGCTGAGTGAATCGAACTCGTCAGCTTATCGAAAAGCTGCAGGCGCAAAAACCTCGTACGCTGACGCTGCGAACTGGTAAAAAGGGGTTCCGAAAATGTTATTTTTAGTAAATATATTTTTTATTTTCAGTAAAATAATTTATCCGTAATTTATTAGCGAGCTCCCATTTCAAAATCAAATAATTTATTTTGCGCTCTCTCCAGGCAATAACCTTGAACCGGGCTCGATAGAGCTCTACGGACCAGCGGTCCAGCTGAGCCACAATCTACAATCGATCTGCTGCGCTCTTGCCCTCCCATTTTGATGGTTGGTCGCTGAGACTCCGCGAGAGCCACCTGCATTTTGTGCAGCATTGTCATTGTCCGATCTGCTCCAATACCCACATGCCTCCGAAGCGCACGAATAATGTAACGGGGTACGTAGCACTAAGTGTACCCTGGTTACATGAAGTGTGACACTTCACACTTCAGGAGTATGACATGTCATACTCCGGGATATTTGGTACAAGGTACCAAGGTCATTCAAAACCAACCATTGGTTTTATGACATTGCATTTCTATAGGTAACTGATAGTTTGTATTAACCTCAAACTTAACCTACCTATAAATATACTCAGTTTACAATCTACCTTATTTAGGTCACTTCGCCCTCTTTAATTAAAGAGGGGACCTGTGAACTGCCGTTCACTGAGAGTTTGTATACTCTCGGAAGATAACTTCCTCTAGCGCAAGGTGCTGTGTGACCCCGTCACACTTGGTAGCACTTGTAGTCAATCCACGCCATCGCGGGTAGACTACCTGAACCTCCGAAGTTCGTTGCCATGGATAGGAACGACTTCTCCCATATGAACGACTCTCAGTTCGAGTCGGTTCGGAAGATGGCAGGCATCTTCGGGATGGAGGCCCTGCAGAGCCTGGTGGTATCAACACCGGCTGAGCAGCTCGAGCGCGTCAATGCATTCGACGCGTACGAGCAGGGCCTCATCGCGCATGTGCGGGAGAACAATGCAGGCTCCGGCGGCGGGAGCAAACCCGCCTC